ACATTGTTAGCAAAATATTTTGAATTATATTTTACCCTATTTTTTCTTTAGTTTTGTATTTAACTTATTATATGATAGTCGGATTTAATGGAAATTTGAACAATGGAAATATATTTTTACAAGATGCGGGGGAAAGTGCAACAACTTATTACAGTGCTAAATTTAATATTATTGATTACTAATACTTTATGCTAACACCTAAGTTTCTTAATTAGATGTATTTAAAACAGTGAACTAAGTGTAACATAACATTCAGAAATACAATCGAGAATAGTTTTGTGCTGTTTGTATAGATAAAACCTTTCTAAAATGTATAACGTAACAAAATTAAAGGCGATTAAAATCTGTAATCTTTCCACTTGCATGTCATTAAAAAGTACAACAAGTTTCTGCTTTGTCTAAGGATGGTATCAAAAAGTAGTCTAAGTGGTGAGAAAGCTGCGCTTAATGATAATTAAGGGACTTAAAAGTTAAAAGAGATGCTTCATATTGCTTGATTAATTTTAAAAACTAAGTTATAAATGCAGACGCGATTGGTGTATTAAGCGCTCCAGGTAGCAGAACTGAGCTCTGCGCCTCCTCCCTCTCGGGTCTAAATATCTAAACATATGTATCTATATTGCAGGTAGTGTCACTGTATTCCACTTTCTTTGTAAACACGAAAAAACAGATTCACAACGCGATGCTGTGTCACTGTGTAAAAAAAAAATGGTTTGAACACCCTATATTGTAATGAGCTGTTGAGCTACTGTAAGAATATAATTATCTGCTGTCAGAGGGGGTGGAAAGTGCCCATGGTCATTTAATTAGTATAACAATTTGCACTGAATTGAACCCATTCAGAGCCTACATTACATTTTAGCATTTCATTCAGAGCAGAAACACTCACACCTGAAGAAGGCTTGAGTTTTCTCTCTTCTCTTTTAAACATATGTACAATGCTGTAATACAATTTAAAATAAAATTTTAAACATGATCAACTAAACTCCATTAATATAAGTATCGAGTGGTATTAAATAAATACAGCTTTTTAATATAGATTACACTTTTCTAAAATGTATTTAAAAAATAAAAACGATTACAATCTAATCTTTCCATGATTGATCCCAAAATCCCAAGAAAAATAAATCTAAACGGGGAGAAAGCCATGCTGAAAGTTTATTAAGGTACTTAGAAGACTAAGATAACAATTTATGTTGCATTTGTCTGATTGTGAATCAACAAATACATATAATTAAAAAAGCATTTGCGACTTAAATCAAAATGCGATTTAAATCAATATAAATGTTTATATTGTAACGCATACTGTACAGCCTCCATTTCTCTATAAAAATTTAAACGATTAAAGATCGTTTGCGCAGCCTAAAAGGCGGATTCTACTTTCATTGACAGCTGACAATCCTCCATACACTCAAGTGAAAAATTAATAATGCCAATGTAAAAGTTCTCTAAAGCTTTGTGATAGTTTACCCAGGCAGCAAAAGATCAGCTACACTGGGAAGATGCGACACCGAAGATATGATTAATAACCTTTTAAATCTGAAGGGAGATCTAAAGGGATCCCCCCACACACACACAAACCCACACACGATAGAAGCAGGGACAGTTGTCAGAAGGAAAGAAGGTGCTTATTCATTGTTATTAAAAATGACTTAAATTCGATCATGTTGTGATATTTAGAAATATAAAAAGTCAATTAATTGTCCATAATATTGCTATTCTATTTTTTCAAAGAAATGTTTGTTAAAAGAAAAGTCAAATCCATGGCTGGATTTGAACACACAACCTGTGGGTTTCTAATTTGGCTCCTAGACCACCAGGCTACATGAGCAGAGGTAATACAGCCCTACACATACAGAATCAACAGAGTGTACAGCATGTATTACTGTGTTGCAGTACACGAATATAATTGTATCGTTATTAATTTCTTTAGATACACGATTCCATATTATATTAGCAGAAAAGCTTAAAACTACCACTTTTTATACACGCTATTTCACATGTTAGTTAAAGACTTCGAAGCTTAAAATGTTTAGGGAGAAATGGAATACTGGTGTGTATTTTTTCTTTAAAGTACCGAGACCAGCCGTATACTGTATGTTTATGTTCCAAAATTATACCGTTTATGTGCTTTACACGCGTTACAGTATGCTCCTATTCTTTTTATGCTCAGCTACTAAGATTTCCCTTAATTGGTAAAATTCCATATAAATATTCAATACTTAAATGGGCACAGTAAAGACATTAAATTTACATATACATACTGTATACAGTACAGTTTGCATACAGTAATATGTTTATGTTCCTAAATCAATATCTTGATTTAGCATCTATGCATCTATGCTATGAGCATGTGAAAAGTATGGTGATTCGGAGATTCTCAAAAATTACTGTACTTTGCATGATTGGAAACAAATGCACGATTGTGAAATGCTGTGGTGTTACTTTTACAAAGACTGTCAATGAAAAAAAGAATGTGGACCAGGGCAATACTTTTAGTTTACAGCTTGTCGAAGGTCATTCATTATTAATACTATTAGTAATATCTTCGGTAAAGACTTTGATGGCGACAGCTCAAACATGAGAGGTTGAGCTTTATTAGCTCCACCTTGCGGAAATTCCGGATACTATTATTTTACTTGCGGTACCACGTGGTATCATGCAGCACTATGCGAGAATTTACGGTATTAATATGGTAACTTGCGGTCAACTGCATCAAGCTCACTGGAAAATAATGTGGTATTGCCCGCTTGTTTTGAATGGCTGCATCTATATACAAGAAACATTATGACCACCTTTCAAATATTTTTATCAATCGTATGTTAAAATATCTTAAAAATGAAATAAAAAAAAATCTTATTTCATAAATTGAATTTGCTAGGGGGACAAAAATATAAACTGTGACATTTCAGCAGAGTATGAAGTTCAGCATGTATGAAGCGAAAATGTTTTTAATCAAAAGGTTTAACATTAAAGATGGATGAAAATAACAAAAGATTAAAATGTTTATCCTGTGTCCGGAGATTTTTAATAGCTGGGTGCTTTGCACTATAGGTGAATTATAGATGTTAAGTGACAATCTATGCAATTGTTATGACTTGAAGCAAAAGAATGTTTCTGATCATGACTAACATCTGTTACAGCCACAAATTCAAATACATTAAAAGTTCTCTGTAATGAAATGTCAAATGATATACAATGGCTGGCTGTTCTGCATAGGTAACAGCACTGTCCACTTCGTTATGAGCCATACTACCTGTCTGTTGTATTTTCCCTATCAGTTTCAAGATGCTGCCTTTGTACAAATGTGGTCTAACACTGACCCCTACGGTCACACGCTGTACTGTTAACAAGAAGATTATTCTTCAGAACCTTTCAGCCTCATTGCTGTGAAAGTATGTCATCTTCCTACACAATATTGCTAGGCCAAATGTCAACCACAGCCTTGATTTATGGTGTTACAGGTGAGACACTTAGTCCTTGGTCACAGTCATGGCCTAGTGGTTTTAATCTCTTTGGTTCCCCTCTGAAGCGCCTGTCTGTCAGGCAATTTGTTACCAGTGACGAAGTGCACCTGACAGTTAAGTCTTAAGAGTTCTACCAGACAATTCACTGCTTTCACAACAGGACCCAAACAGGATTGTAGACAATGTGGACCAATTATGTATTTCATGGATTTACTGTTTTATTGCTTATACCTACAGTTTTGTAAGAATCAATACAATACCATAGGAGCTCTTGTTAACTTCTGTATGGAAACATCCTCATATTTTAGTTATATAGCCCTGTCTAAAAACACTTATTTTTTTCTTCCAGCCCCTGTTTTTTTTTTTCAGAAAGCAGCATTTATATCTTTGCTAATGGCATAATGGTAGAGAATGACAGCAAGTATGATCATTATCTGTTCCTGCCCTGTCCTGAATGTGATTCTGTTTGATAATAACCAAATGGAATTGCATACCAGTGCAGGTGAAGAACTTGGACTCCCCCACACTCAGCTCCACTTTGCTCAGTGAAATTGTGGCTTGAAGAACAGCTGCAAGAGAAAAAAGTGAAAGAAAGACATCAGAAATTAAGAATGAATTAAATGCTTGTTGACTTCTGGCAGATGTACAGTATGAGGAATAGTACAGGACTGCAATGTTTTTGCCAGCAGATGCATGTGTTTATTCTAGTTAAGATCAAATCAAAAGGTGTACTTTAAACCAACTTTAATGTGTTTTGTATGTTGGATATTTTGTCTTTCCCTTCTGTTTTATTTCCCTCTGTTTAATTCTCACTTAAATGCAAAACTCAGCAGAATGAAAAAAAGACTGACATTGCTCTGTGCCCAGTGAACATTATTTAAAAGATATATTGCACTTTACTGTTAAATGTTATTTACAGTTTTACTCAAAACTATACAAATGCTGTAGTAAGATTTATTACAGTGTACAGTTGAGAATTGTTCCATGAAGTATACCTGCTGTTACAGTATTTTGTTAAATTACTGTTTTTAACAGTGATTGCACTCAACCAATAACAGATATTAATTGTTAAACCCCAGATACATCAGGATTTCTGTTGTGTAGTACAATTAAAAAAATCTTAGAATTCTGGAATATGAATATTTATAAGCAGAAAAACAGTTTTTTTTTTTCAAAAGTATTGTACCTAATGTATTATGTGTTGTTTTACAGTTTCAGTTGAAACATAACAGATGCATATTCATTTAAAGACAAAGAGGAATTCAAGAAACAGTCAAATGGTGTATGGATAAGAAAAACTACACATTGAACCACATTATATAAATTTGCCTCAATAGCTGAGAAATAATAATTCCTTTTATGTGTATACTTTACAGTGAGTTTCTTTTCCATTAATTTAAAAGTATATTACATGCAGCAAAACCTGGGTTGACATGTGGTAGATAATTCTATGCCAGAAGACCCATTAAACAATAGATCAGGAAGAGAAATGAGAAATCACTTCAACTTAATTAACGGAGAAATATAGCTAGGTGGGCAGTATGGTGATAAAGAGGTTAACCCCTTATGTGTTTATGGCTGTGTCCGTGTGTGCCTTGTGATGGACTGGCATCCTGTCCAAGATGTATCCTGCTTTGCGCATGCTGACTTCTGGGATAGGCTCTGGCTCTATGAATTGGATGGAGCAGTTAGAAAACGGATGAATGGAGCTAGGTCAGACTGAACAAGTCTAAAGTGGTGATGTTTGGGTTAACACCCTTAGTCAGGATGAACAGCATCCTGAGATCTTTAATGACCAAAAATCAGGACATTGGTTTAATGTCTTTTCTGAAGATTGGAACTTCCTAAAGTAAAATATACACTGTCACCTTAGTTATTGGTGTTGATATTGTAGAAACCAAGAGAGTTGAGCCTGAAATGTCCATTCCTCAAGCCAAGCTTTATTGTATGCATACAAGGAGCAACGCATTTGAGGATTATTGTTGTATTGCTCAGAGGGAATATAACTCTACACAGCTTTTATATACTTTTCTCTACACCCTCCCCCTCCTGTATTTGAGGTAGCTTTCTCAAGAATCTCTGGAACTCAGAAAACACTTAAAACATTCCTTTCTTATCAGGAGTTTAGTCTCAACATTCCCCATCAGGGAGTTTAGTACAGAAGATGGGGAGGGAGAAGCATCTGTGCTAAAGCAAGCGTGAAGGTTAGAGTTTAGCATGTGAATTCAGCAGAAGTTCACAGCTCCTACCACTATATGGGTATAGAGTAACATACAGATTCTGCTAGCAGACTCCATCAGTATTGAATATAGAAATTCTGGTCTAGAGGGAAGAGTGCAACCTAGAGATTCACCAACATCACTTATAGCAGCATTCAAATTTTCCCAAGGGACCTCCCGTCTTTGTACTGACTAAACCAAGACCTGCTAAATTTCAGAGATCAGACTATAATTTGGTAATCCTGCTGTTAATATTACTTTGAAATTTAAGAATATTCAAAATGCTTCATTGATATAAATGTCCTTATCTGGAAAATAAATGCCATGAATCTTTTTTTTTTCATTATGCTTAGCTTACGGTAAATGCTGTAAAAAATGTCTGTTTCTATGGAGTAAAATGGAGTCTAAATATAGTAAAATACTCATTATATGCTACAGTGCTACATTATATGCTATTGTGCTACAGTTCAAATGATAAGTAAATTATTTGTTATTTTTTGTAAGTTCTGTTCAAGTGCTAATTAAGATTTTTGTGTTGTTGAAAAAGTTTTCTTTTATTTGCTCACTTTTAATTTCATATTATAGAATCACAAAGAGAATAATTTTTGATGTAATCATAGTATGTCATAAGCAGAGATGAGAAAGTAGTACTTGTTGCCACCTTTCTTTTCTCGTGAACTAAATCGCCTTAAATTATCTAAATGTATTCTCTGAAGGCAGGATCCTGTGCTCACAACAGTATCCTTCAGATGTTTCACTGGAAGTGAGTTGGGTTTTACATAGAAAGCACTTATATTGTATACCTGTATTCACAAGAAATGATTCACATGGAGGAAATCAAAATGCATGTAAATATTGTTTTTCATGGAACATTTTCGTGTTACTCTGATTAGCTACTGCAAAGCTTTACAGTATCATCAAGTAAGTCACATACTGTAGTTTTCTTCCACAGTGAAACAGTAAATAATAATTTCTCAGTAAATAATGTTTCACAGCATGATATCATTACAACACATAGATGTGATTCTATACTAGAAACACAGTTTACATATCTCTGGAACTTCATAAAAAAGATAAATAACTATAAAGCTAAATAAAATAAATGAAAGTGGCCAAAGTGTGAGTGAGGGATGGAAGATAGCTAGGTGGATACTCATGCCTACCAACTGAAAACTGGAACATTTAGGTGCTGTATGTGACAAGCCAGGAGTTCCCAGTCCTTGCTCATATTGTTTTTTTTTTTTTAATTCAGTCCAGATCTCTGTTACATACTTGAACCTTTAATGGACTTACAGTAATAATGCATTTCATTTGAAATGTTTAATTGTTTTTGGCTTTTAAATATGCTTAAGGCTGTCTTTTAACTGTTGTATTTCTTAAGTAAAATAAAATATCCACCTTTCACCTTTGGAGTAGATAATATAATTTACAAATATTCTAATCAAGCAACTTGTTTGTTAAATTTAGACTTAAATTACTTAATTACGATAATAAAATTCAATAGGTGTGTGTCACGCCCTCTGAAGCCAGAGGGCGCTCCTTCTCTGTCCTGTCCCTAGTTTCCGGTCTGCTGTCCTTCCTGTCCCTCTCTTTCCCTTGGGCTATATATTTTTGGGTCTTGCACTCTGTCCTCGCTCAGCATTGACGTTCGGATGTCCTGAGACCCGCCTAGCACCAGGGCGCCCCACGTCCGCTCCCTGAGGGCATAGGTTTCTATACGGCATTCCTGAACTCTTTGCACTAATGAGCCCGGGCCTCTTTCCCGTCTCGCCGCTACGCATATGGGTCTTTTTCCACTCTCCTGCTCCCCACGGTTAGTCCCTTTGGACGTCCGTGACAGTGTGCCCCAGAATGCGCCTCAGAACATAGTCCTAACGGTTCTCATTTATTTAATCATATATATTTCCTTATGTTAATAGAAAGTTTACATGACTTTGTTGAGACCACACCTAGCCCCAGTCTCTGTCAGGCTGGCTTCCCAACATCTAACTGGGCTCAGTAGCCAACAACTCAGCTCATTTGTGTAATCACACTGTCATGGGTGGAACTTAATAAATTTAATATTCTGTACAAATTACACCAATTAGTTAATAAAATGCGGCATTCAGTAATTTGTCATTTAGAAATAGCATGCCTGCTTCCAGGACTCTTATGCAGTCTAGATACGAATGAGCATGAAGATCTCAAAGGAATCATCAACTTTTTACCCTCTGAGAAAGCACTGCCTGTGGGCTCAACTTGCAAGGGCTTCTCTGACAGCTGCCATGTTGATTGATAATAGCATAATGATCACTGGAGTTGCTCCAAGATGTATGCCCGATCCACTCTTTTTACCCTCAGCTTCATAACCAGCAACCCTTTATTAACTTGGCTGTTAGAAAGTGATTTACTGCAAAGGTTTTTAAAATGCCTTATTTTCTTAAGCCAAACTAAAGTATGCATGGGTGCATTTGTGCACTTTTCTGTATATTTTGATAAGTACTTATTATTTTAGATAATTGCAACCCTTTCATCAAAAGAAAATAAATTTTTGCAATACAAAGTTGTTATAAAAAGTTTTGCAATATTTGTTTTTCTTTCAAAAATGTATCATATCCCAAGTTTTACTCATAATTCAGCATAAATAAATAAATTGTATGAAGGAGAACAAAATAAATAAACAAGAACTAAATCCATTCAGAAATAAAATGACATCCATTTCAAATAAACTATATGCCACAGTACACTGCAGTGTAAGCAAAACTGACAACCCAATGTGCAATTGTATAAAACAGCCCGTAAATGTCAGTAAAGAGTTCAAAACTACTGTACATGGCTAAAACAGCTGCTGAGCTCCAAAGCATACCATGAAGGTTTGGGGCTAATTGTGACTTATATTTTTAATCTTTATATATTTTTCTTTTTGTTTGGGCTTCCTTTTTAGCACCTTCATTTTTAAGTATGTTCAGAAAATATGTTTAAAATATATTTGTTTCGAAAATGCATTGGAATCCTTGTTTGATCTCATGTCTAACAGCATTAATAACAAAACATTGTTATTATTCCATGTGCTCTAGGTACTCTGTAATTATGCAGACATAAAAAATCAAGATGGTAGTGTTGTTTTTTATTACAAATGAAAGAAAAAAAATTAAATAGGGTTGTAGTTACATAAGGTATTTGTTTGCCATTTTATACCCATGTATGAACCTGAATAAAAACAACGGAACTAATGAAGACAGGTTGCTGTTTATCAGCACAATGTCGCTTACAGTAATTTTCTCTATAAAGAGTAAAATGTGTGATAACCATCTGAGGCTTTGGTGTTTACCATCAATGTTAATTTACCAATTAAATCAAGATTGCTTTAG